GCAGGTTTTATCAAAGATATTTGTTAAGGTTCTCCAGTAAAGACTCTCAGTGGAAAATTAAGGGGTGGGGGCTTCTTCATCTATTAGAAATCTCTGGTCACAAAGGTATTATGACACAGGTTGTTGTTTTTCCAATGTAGAATTTCTCAACTGAAAACCTTGAGAGTCAAACTTTTTCCCCATATATATAGTGGACAAAAAGTGACAAGCAGGCTAAAGGTTCCTCTTAAAATACTTTTATTTAAACATACAGCCTGATAACACAGGAGCCAGGAGATGACATCTAAAGTCTCCAGTGACAGACCTCCCTGATGGTCCAGTGGTTAAGAAAGTGCACATCCATCACAGGGGTGCATGGGTTCAATCCCTGGTCAGGGAACTAAGATTCTGGATGCCCCAAGGTACAGCCAAAATAAATACATAATTTTTAAATAAAATAAAGTCTCCAGTGAATTTACAACTGAGTCTGTCCTCAGCAGTGGTTCTAGAGTCTAACAGAAGGACATGGCCTCACTGTGCTATGACAGTTGTCAGCTGAAACAAGTCACAATGTTCATTCAGGATCACATTTTGCAGATACAGAAAGCTTACACTCAGGCCTTCCAACATCTGCTAGAAAAATCACTGCAATGTTCTGCAAAGGTTTGACAACAGCAGGAGCCACTGTAGAATGACAAGCTTGTAACTGAAAACCAGTGCTATCTTTCCCAAGATAGAGTCTCCCAGGGTATCATCCAGCACCCGGTGATAACAACTGGGTGCTAGGAAAACATCCTGGGAGGAGAAGATTCCATCGGATCAGTTGGTGGAGTCAGTACATGACATGGCCAGAGGCTGACCCACACAGCAGTCGTGGCCTCTCTGCAATAGAAGAAGCGTGGTGCGAGGTTCTGTGACTTGTTTGAGAGGGAATCTAGGATTCTCCTGTGTTCCTGGCTACCAGGACAGTTTAAATGAACTCTCAATGGCATAGGCTATTAAAGACTATTTGGAGAGGGTGGGATGAATTGAGAGAGTAGCATTGAAATATATACACATGGTGCATGCATGCTAAGTCACCTCAGATGTGTCTGTCTCTTTGCGACCCTGTAGACTGTAGACCACCAGGCTCCCCCGTTCATGGGATTCTCCAGGCAAGAATACTGGAGTGGGTTGCCATGCCCTCCTCTAGAGGATCTTCCTGACCCAGGGATCAAAACCATGTCTTTTATGTCTTCTGCATTAGCAGGCAGGTTCTTTACCACTAGTGCCACCTGGGAAGCCCATACACATGATAAATATATATACTTACCATGCGTCAAATAGATAGCTAGTAGGAAGTTGCTATATAACACAGGGAGTTCAGCTCAGTGCTCTATGATGACCTAGAGGGGCAGGAAGGAGCCGTGGGAGGCAGGCTCAAGAGGGAGAGGATAATATGTATACTTAAGGCTGATTCACATTGTTGTATAGCAGAAACCAACACAACATTGTAAAGCAATTATCCTCCAATTAAAAAAAAAAAAAAGGACCAATTTGGGACCTGCCCTCCATGGGTGAGAGGCTTCCCTTGTGTTTCAGCTGGTAAAGAATCCGCCCACAATGTGGGAGACCTGGGTTTGATCCCTGAGTTGGGAAGATCCCTGGAGAAGAGAAAGGCTACCCACTCCAGTATTCTGGCCTGGAGAATTCCATGGACAGCATAGTCCATGTGGTCACAAAGAGTTGGACACGACTGAGTGACTCTCACTTTCACTCCATGGGTGACAGGGATGTCCATGATTCACTGGGAACTCCAAACTGTCTTCCTGGGATCGTTTCCTTTCTGAGTAGAGCCCAGCCTCTACTATCTCTGCATAAGTCCACAGTCACACAGCGAATAAGTCCAGTCACACAGCGAAGCTGGACTTTGGTTCTCTACTGACATCATCAGAAAGCCAAGCCTGGTAGGAAACAGCAGCCACGGCAAATACAAACCCAGTTCCGCCCAGCCCATGCAAGAGCCCTGGGCCTGGATCCCTGCCATTTGCTACCTGGTAACACCCCTCTGCCCAGGGCCAGGGGTGACTGGAAATTCTGAGCTGTGATACCCAATATCAATTACAACACCCACTACAAACTAAGACACTAGAATCTTTGCCAAGAAGCTTAACTGGGCTGATATCTTGTATGTGGCTGTGAAATCACCAAAGAAGTCTAGGGGATAAAACTAAAAAAAGTCTCTGGGAGCTTTAGCAAGGGGACTAAAAAGAAATATGATGACAGCCCTTCTGAGATGGGTAACATCTATCATCACGTGTGTTCAAGGGACAACGGTGTCTTGTGGGTTTCAAACTTCTCTGTTGAGAACCACTTCTTTCAACGAAAGCATCTTGAGTATCTTTGACTTCATCAAGTTCTAATAGTCATTTTCCCCTTCCCCCTCAAAAAAAAAAAAAGCAATAAAAATATGAAGAAATTCATCAACAGATGAATGGATACACCAAATGCGGTATACAATGTGCTATATAAACAAAATGTGGTCTATATACACAACGAAAAGCCACAAGGAAGGGAATGTTGACATAATCTTCAACCTAGATGAAGCTTGTAGGCATTATGCCAAGTGAAGTAAACCAGTCACAAAAGGACAAATACTATATAACTTTACTTAAAGGAGGTACCCAGAGTAGGTAAATTCATAGAGACAGAAAATGTAACAGAGCTTTACCAGGGGCAGGGGTGGTAGAGAGAGAGGGGAGCTATCAACTATTTATTTATTTTTTATTTTGCCAGTCTTCAAGATATGTGGGGTCTTGGTTTCCTCACCAGGAAACATGCCACCCACAGTGGAACCATGGAGTCTTAATTACCAGATCACGAGGGAAGTCCTGTAGCTATATTTTTTTAAGATTTTTTTTTTTAATGCCAGAGCTATCATTTAATGGGTACAGAGTTTCTGTTTGGAATGATAAAAAGTTCTGGAAATGGATGGTGGTAATGGTTGCACAATATTGTGAACGTACTTAAAATGCCACTGAACTGTATACTTAAAAACCATTTTAAAACAGTAAATGTTATGTTATGTATCTTTTACATACCCAAAAATGTTTAAGTATGAACAATGGTATTGCTTTTCAGCAAATATGAGTAAGGTAATGTTTTCAGTAGCATCCGACTCTGCAACCCCATGGACTGTAGCCAGCCAGGCTCCTCTGTCCATGGGATTCTCCAGGCAAGAAAATTGGAATGGGTTACCATTTCCTTCTCCAGGGGATCTTCCCAATCCAGGGATTGAACCCATGTCTCTTGAGTCTCCTGCACTGGCAGTCTGATTCTTTACCACTAGCGCCACCTGGGAATCCCTAAGTAATGTTTAAATGACCATTAAGAACAAGTAAATAATTCTCATCAGAAACTACAAGCTAATCATAGTCAGGAACGCTGTAAGAGCAGACGATCCATGTTGATCAGCCCTGGTAGACCTTAGTCCAAAATCCGACAGCCAACTCTCTTGCTTCTATGGAGGAATAGATTCAACTATTCAGAGTCCAAATGCTTTATTATTTAACTAAATCATAGAACTATCACAGGCTTTGTGAATTCAGGGACCACATTTGTTTAAATGGAGACCCAGTTCTCACTAAACTATGCACCATAATAATGGAGTATAAGACATGTGCTCAATATCACCTATGAAAGCCCAGAAGTCTCTGTATTTTATCAAGTCGAGAACACTCTATCATGGAAATGCAAGAGTATGACTTAATGAACTATTCCTTCAGATTAGTTAAGCATCTCATGTGGGATATTCTTTCAGAATATGAACTGTGATGTAATAGGGTCAGGGAAATTAATCCACACCCAAGTTCCCAGGGCCTCACCCTTGTCAAACCTCTTCAGACCAGTATTTTGCTCTCCAATTGTATGTTTTCAGGAGAAGCCAAAATTATTAATATTTATACTGGTCTCATTCTCAATGCTTCTCCAGTATGCTAAGCCAAGGGGTGACTTAGCAAGGAAGCAGCTTATCTTCATGGAGAAGTTGGGCAGATAACTCGGAACACAAGGCAAATGACTTGGCCTGATCATTCACCTGGGATGTTTACCTTATTTGTGTAAATCTTAACTTCATTTTCTTTCCATTTTCTACAGCGTATCAGGTGAAGCATGATGTTCTCAAAGAATCATGAGGATTTACCTATGTGAGGATTTATCTATGATTCACATAGCCAATTCAGATGATCATCTTAGCTGAAAAATGTCATGGTCTTTGACATTTCTTTTAACTCTAATTGAAAAGCGGTCTTAATAGAATCATAACAACAATGTGTGACTGAATTGGACCCTGGATCAGAATTTTTGTGGAGAGGGTTATAAAGAATATTATTGAGGAAACTGGCAAAATAAATATTGGTCTACAGATGAGATAATAGTATTGTATCAGTGTTATTTCCTCATTTTGATAACTACTGAAGTCATGTAAGAGAAAGTCCTTGCTCTTAAGAAATATACACTCAGCAATTTAGAATTAAAGAAAAGCTGCTATTTACTTTCAAATAATTCAGAAAAAATTACTGTATACATATATATGTATATATTAAGAGAAAATGATAATAGAAGCAAGGTAAAATAATAATTGGAAATCTGAATAAAGAGTATGGGACCTCTTTATACTGCTTTTAACTGTTTTGTAAGCAGGAAAGAATTTCAAAATAAAAAATTTATCCCCCAAATTTAAAGTTGATTTAATAACTTACTCATAGTGAGCCTATAATCTAAAACAAAGTCAAATTAATATGGCATTATAATTTTTATATCTCAGTTTATTTTAACATTACATTAGTGGCATTAACCAGGAAAACTCGACTTGAGTTCTACTTGATTATAAAGCCATTGAATCTCAAGATTAGGAGGGAATTAAAGAGATCAAATGACTCAAATAAACATGAGTATTTCCCAATGTAACACCATGCAATACAAATAACATACAAGGAAGCAGGGTATGAATCACGAATAAAGCACAGAAGAGGCAATTCTACCTTGAACGGCTGTTGATCTCCACCCAGCCCAGCTTCCATGACACATGAAGCAGAAGCCCAGCAACCAGTGTCTGCCACCTGAAAAGGAAGAGGGCCAGGGTGAAGTTAAGAGTGCCGCGGTCTCCTGGTTCACCCCCGCAGACATGCTGGCCGGCAAATACACACGTGAGCCTTCTTACAGCTCTTTTCTACCACTTTCTCCTAATCATCACCCCAGCTCTAGACCTGTCCTTCTCAACCTCTGCCACTCCCCTGAGTCCAGCTGCACCATTCCCTGCTGACACTGACCCTCTCCTCTTCTTATTCTATCTAGACTTTTCCTGAACAATCTCACCCACAGCCAGCATGTCTCCATGACCTTGCACTGGTGAAGCCCAAACCCCCCTTCTCATGGGATACAGCCATCCTGACACCTACCCCAAGCACCTGATGATAAAACATAACCTGGGATATTCTTTAGAAGATGGTGGAGGAAAAGGACGGGGAGATCACTTTCTCCCCTACAAATTCATGGAAAGAACATTTGAACGCTGAGCAAACTTCACAAAACAACTTCTGACCGCTAGCAGAAGACATCAGGCGCCCAGAAAAGCAGCCCATCGTCTTCAAAAGGAGCGACCCTCCCTCCCCACAGCATGACTGAACAAACGAACCTGAACAAGAGACCACCTCCACCCGCCTGTGTCAGGGCGGAAATTAGACACTGAAGAGACC